AGTTCACAGCAGTATCAAAGGAGGAAAGCTAGAAATGATGCCATCACTCAAGACAGCCACATAGAGCAGTCGGGAAACTTAAGAACCTATCTTTCTTCGCTTCTGTAGCATCCACAGAGAAAAAATACGCAAAATGAAGTCATGCGAATAGAATTTTTCAATTTAGAGTGTTCAATTCAGTTTCAGTTCCGACTGTCTGTCCGCTATATCATATTACCAGCTGGCTTACCCGGCTCCGCCCGGCCCTGTCAATTCTATGATTAAGATCTTATCCCTATCCCTATAGAACCTTTCATTTTGCCCACTTCTACATGCAACTCCTTATTCCCGCTGTGTTAGTAATTAGCATGCCCACCTACTCCCTCAACAACCCCCAGCCCCGTAGCTCAAACTTGGCAAAAAAAGCAATAAAACCGGTAAAAGTAAGGATAATTTTGAAAACTGATGACGCTAATCGGCTATGCGGCCCCAAAATGTTTTTGTGGTGGATCTTGCTCAAGGTCGGTACATGGGGATTATTAAAGCCGCTGATAACGAATATCGTAGTCATTTCGCGCGATGTAGCGCTATTTTCTGGGTTTAGTTGGGTACACTTAAGAACAGCTAAAATCATGGATTTCGCTGAAACTTTGAGGGGGGGGGGGCTAATTGACATGCTGATTACGAATATCATTTTCCTTCGGCATTTTGAGGCGATTTCACTGAGTTATCGTAGGCATACTGCAGGGGGGCGAAATCTCAGTTTTGGCTGAAACTCGGTCTAAAGAGATTCGACCTTCTGACCGCGTCTAAAACACTCTCGTTGCGTTAAATCTTTTCGCAGAGTTACAGTAGGTACATGGCAGCGGGTAAAAACCATGAACCTGTCTGAAAACCTTGGCAGAAAATTACCTAAAGTGCTTTTCAAGATTATCGTGCTCAATCCCCACGACAAAGGCAATTCGTGTGGTATAAAAGTTTCCCACGACCGTAGTGCTTTCCCTTATAGGACCACTGCCGCGCGCGAAACACCCTTTGCTTTTGCCTAAGCAAAAACAGGGGGAGGGAGATTTGCCGCGTGCGTTACACATTGGGACAGGTTATCAGTTTCCTTATAGGACCACTGCTGCGCGCAATACAGCCTTTGACGGCTTTTGCCTAAGCAAAAACAGGGGAGGAAGATTTGCCGCGTGCGTTACACGTTGGGATAGGTTATCAGGATGGCGCTGAAGACCGCCATGCAAAACAACCGTTTCCCCATTTTGTGAATATCTGGGATCTAAATTGGTTCGAAAGCGAAAAAATGTCCATTCGAACCCTGCAACTCATCATAACTTCACTAATGCCTTATGACAGCGAGCAAGCATCATATTCATAAGCGATATACTTGTGAACCATTACAGGTAAGGTTTTGAGCAAATCTGGAACTTCGACCCATCTACACCCACCGTTACGCAAGAAAATGCACTATCCTGGGAAATCAGCATGATATTCATGTTCAGGCGCTAAATGACCACCCTAGACAAAGTTTAAAGCAAATCTATGTTTTCGACTTCATGCCATATAACCACCACAACTCTATGAAAAGGTCCTAATATGCAAAAAGAGATGATATTCGTAATTAGCATGTCGAATAAGCCATATGGACCGAACTCCAGCCGAATTCACTATTTTGACTTCCTACCGTACACCTATCGTAACCACACGGGAAGACGTTCTGCGGAGAAAGTGTAATATGTGTAATCAGCATGTAAAGGGCCGGGCATACTTCACGCGATTTCAGTCCCGATGCGATTTGGCAATTAGCCAGAAGTCTTCGGATTTAACTTAGCAAACTGCAGATGCATAATGTGTGTAACTTACGTAAACTGATGAAATGCCCTATCTTCTGTACATTTATAATGTGCTTACAATGAGTTATGGACACCTGGAATATTTCCAAATCGCGTCGCGATTGAAATCGCTTGAAGTAGGCCCGGCCCTTAAGATAACCCTTATATACGAAGTTTGAGCAAGCTCTGCCACAAAAAATTTTGGTGCCCGGATAGCCGAATAGCGCCAAACTAATATCGAACTCGTAATCAGCATGCTCGATTACCCCACTGTGCAAACTCCCAGCCCCGTAGCTCAAACTTTGCAAAACAATCGATAAAATCGATAAAAGTAATCGATAGTCCTGAAAACTAATATCGCATTCGGAATCCCCATGCTCGATTACCCCCTTAGAAAGTTGAAAGCTCTCAGCGGGCAGCCACAAAGCCGCCACCAACCCCACCAAAAGCCCCCGCGCCTTATCGCTGCCACTGTGGATGCCCGCTGAATGCCATGTGGCTTCCACGTCACTGCCGCTTCATAGCGGCCCGCTGACTGCCAGTTAAAGCAGCCCGCTCAATGCCATTCAAAGGATCCCGCCCACTGCCGCTTATATTAGCCCGCTCAGTGCCGCTTACCGCACTCTCTCCTTTTCGGGATCCACTACTCCTTCTATACTTGCACTATAAACAAGCTAGGCATCATCTTTTATTAATCAATTGCCCGAAAGAATGCGATACTTCCAGTAATTTAGTATAATGCAATAAGGCACATAACAATAACTCAACGTGGAACAGGTACAGAGGAAAGAAATCAACTCAGAAGATCATTTAGAGTGTCTTAATACACGTACACGTAACGATACCTCAAAGCGAACAAGGTAAAAATGAACGAAATGAGCTCACATTGATTGTCAACCTATACTGCAACATAACAGGTAATAGCAAATCAACAGAGAACACGATGCAGATAAACGAGATAAAGTCAAAATGCAAGATCAAGGCATTGAGGAGAAATGAAGATGTCCATGCGAGAAGAGGTCTGAGGTGTTCTGCTCCAAACAAAATAATCAGGACTAACCATTTGACGGTTTTTTAATGCATACCTTAATCGATTCGACAGCTTACTCAAGCGACAATGCGAGGTATGCCTGGTTTTGATTCTGCAGTTCTCTCAGTTCCATCACTGGGTTAGTTTCTGGTGCTGTTCTTCTTCTTTTCTGGAAATAAACTGAGTCGCTTTTTGCAGTATAAGAGTTCAAGAATTTGTCGACAACTACTCACCGCGTGTGACAGCCACTGTTTTTTTCCATTCATATTCATAAGATCTTATATCCCTCCTGCATAATATTTACTGATTTTTACTTCAACCAAACCTTAGAATATAAAACTCACAAGGCAAGCTGCATCCCTTTTAGTATTTCGGATTTGTATAAATCAAAATCGGCTAACAACTCGTCTAATTTCTTTCGGCGGTCCTTTTCGTTTTCGCCAAGCTCGATGTAGAAGCTAGAAATTTGTGTTTTGATCCTGATAACCATTCTTTAAAAAAAGCTACCGTGTCCTTTCATTTGCCGCTCTTTTTCAAGCCTCAACTGAGGATCGCCTAACCCGATCAAATCCAAAGCAAAATCTGAAATCGGAGTCAGTGCGATGCTAATGTCTGCACAGTACTTGTTATAAACATCCCTACCCTGGAGTGTCACTTCCACTGCCGCCGGTAAATTTTGCAGGTGCTTTTCCCTCCCAGCCTTACGATGATACCTTATCGCGTAATCTTGGATTTGCTGAGGAGGCTCCGTCAGCTGACTACACGTATTTCGCGCGCAGGGAGAAGTAAACCTGCTGGAAGATAAAACGAAATACGCGTGCGAAGTTCTGATAGCACGGCTCAGTGTCGTTGAAGCTAAAGCGCACCAGCAGTTCAGGAATTTCGACCTAAGCCTCTCATTTGCGCGAGTAGTGTATAACAGCCAGTGACACTTACGCCTTTGAATGGTGCTGCTTCGTCTAATTTCCAAGTCCTTGTCAAATTATTTAGTGACAAGACACGTAATTGTCCATGTGTATCCTTTGCTTTCCGTGGCTGTGATTCGAATGAACGCGCTAGCCGATCGTACTTCGCGATTTGTATCTCGCTCTGATAAAGTTGTGGATAATCGCAATACCCAACGTCTAAGCAAGTTAAAGTCCAGATGTCAATGTCAGACTGAAAGTGTTATCCTCTTTCGTTACTTGCGGTTTCCATCCATCTTTTCGAAACCACAATACAGTAGACCCGAATTTTTAGAGTTTTCCTACTTATTCAATCTACACAAAAACATTCTCTGAACATTTTGCGCTACCTACTACTTGCATTATCTTCCAATTTGTAGACATATTTTTCTTCCTCCAACGTATAATATTTAGGGGAGGTCTGTTAGCATTTTTGAGACAGGCAGTAGCAAAACCACTAACGTACCATCAAAAAGTGGGCTATGGAACTTAGCGCGGTCTGGTCAGCCGTATCAGAATCCAAGAAAAAGTCGTGGTCAAACCTCTGGACATGAAAAGCAGCTTCAGATTGGACGAATTCCTGAAAGATTTTTTGATCATCTAGGGTATTTAAAATCAAATATCTTTACCTCGTATACAGCTTTGTTGAAAGAACGATTTCGCTTTGCCTCCAAGATTAGAGAGGCAGCAGAGCGCATATCAAGCGTAACTCCATGTATGCAATCGTACAGCGTCCTGGGCTTCCTCACGGATTGCGATGTGCTTTCGACCTGATACAATTTTTGCGTTCAGTTATTGAGTGGTAAACGATGTTAAGTGCGCATTATGACTACAAGAGGGCTAGCATAAAATTCGTCTTCCTTTTCGACAATCACGAGTTCGTTGCGCTCATCGGTCTCCTCTAATCTAAACAATTTCGTTGAGGGCAGTGTCCGCACAAGAAGGCGATTTTGAAATGCTGTGCTCACCTGGGCTTATTCTCTATGCTGAGTCCAGAAAACAACAAGGTGACAATTCGCATCACTGGAGTTACTCCCACAAACGAATATTGGTATTCATTCGTAATCTGGCACCAAAACTTGCCTGGAACGCCATTAGTGCGGTTCTAACCATCTTCAACAAAAGACTGAGAGTTTCTCATTCTTTTATCATCCCCTTCTTTGCAAATCCATAGTCGGTGATTATTGATGCGCTCTCCGGTAATTAACACTTACAGCACCCTTGCGGTGATTCCCAATGAGGGAGACCAAACAGCGCCTTTTGTGCCTGAGTAATGGTTTTAGAAAAGTAGAGTAGGGATCTACACCCCCTTGGGATGTACCCAAATTCATCCCTCTCCGGCCTCAAATCTCTTATTTTGGGTTCACGCCTACCCCCATATCAGCTATTCCTCGCTGTATTTCGACATTCAAAACCCAGTTTACGCCGTCAACCTCAATCATTAGAGGTTCAATCCGCAGACTTCTTATCTCCGACTCCAGTCTGAATCTCATTTTTTAGAAGGTTGAATAAAAAGGTGTGCGATCACCTGCTGAAGAGCGCTTCAAGCATTTTCGAAGAAGGCTTGGAAAAAGAGAAATAGACGCCACAAAGAATAGAATTGTAATAATTGTCAGCAACTGCTTTGGGTAGGTTATCTACCCTTAGGTAGATAGGCCATACTTCACGTCTGAAATTGAACAAGCGAGTCGCTTCTTAGAGAAGATCAATCACAAATGATACCTTGTGAGCCTCTTTGGTACGAAACCATCTATTGATAATGACAATACAATTTTTAAACGATTCCTGTCGAAGTCGTCCACTTTTTCAATTCCTTGATAGAAAGAATCGAAAAACCTCACGTCGCTTCGATTCAAGGCTGGCCCTCCCTAATTGAGAATGTTTTATGATAAAAGAAGCAAACTCCTATAAAAATCGAAATCACCCTGTTTCTGTGCAATTCGAGATGGAAGTCTATAATTTCCCGTACTTCGTTTTCAAGAATATCAGTTGCGGGACCATATTAATTAGATACATCTCGCTACGCTGCACCCCTTTAGTCCTTTTTAGGTGAGATCTGAACAACTGCATAAAGTCTTATTACCATCTTCGATTTTGCACGCATTCATAGAGGGTACATTCTGGATTTCCACACATATCTCTGCATTGCCGCAAAATGTTTTTGCAGGAGGCGCAAAAGAGAAGCCGTGTTAGATTATACTCGGCCAAAATCTTTTTTTCCATTGGTACCACTGTGTCTTGATACTGAAAAGAAAGGCTTACGTTTTTTTTCATTGACTACCTACTGTAAAGGGAGGAGGTTTTCCATAGATGATCCCCCACATTTTCTCCATCATTCTCACTTCTTCCATCGAAAACCCGCAATGTTGCACATACAAAGCGTAACAGAGTATTCTATCGTTAAGAGCTGAACGATTATGTTAATGTGTTTTGTATGTTCATATGCTAATCCACATTAACCAGTTAGTGTTTATGCACTTACACAACTCCTCATCCTCTTCTCTTACGTTGCTAGTATGCGACTCTTCACCCTCCTCTCTTATGCTGCTGCTATGTGAGTGCTCCCCGAATGTATCACTGATTTGCTCATTGATGTCCCCATTAAGTTCACCTAAAAAAGTGATGTCATGATATGATGTGAACTAGCATCACACCGATAAGACGTAAGCAATGCACTTGAGGTCGAATTTCAATGATTTCATGAAGTTTTCAATTCTATTCTATAATAGTGCTAGTGCTATCAATTCTGTTCTATTCAATTCTATGCTAGTGCTACCAAGCTTTTTGATTTTTTCTACCAACTCTAATTTTCCTGGTAATGTGACTCTCTAATTCTAATTTTCCTGCTAATGTGACTCTTTAGTTAGAAAACGTCGTCTGGGAAGCTATGGGATCGGCCATAATATTCCAGCGTTTCCTGCTATTCGTGCGATTCCTGTTCATCATGTACAAACTTAACATTTAAGACAACATACATGGTGTATTTGGTGCTGACGAGCATTTCTGCAGCATTTTCATACCAAATATTCTATTAGCATTGACACTGACCGCATGGTGCTCCCGCATTACTTAGATAGCTATTGCGACGCACCGGAAATAAAACTGCTGTCTATGATGTCATAACCAAAAATATTGTGCATGCATCATAATGAACTTGAGGGACTCTCTTTGCAAGTTTTGATGTTCCAGACCCGGCTTCTTTGACCTTCACTTTTGTGACAGATGAAAACAAAGCTCGAGTTGTTGAACAGAGAGTCCACTTCTCATGCTTGTTTTAGATTGCCTCAGAGCATGCAGACAGTATGAGAAACGAGATGTGATCCTAAACCCGCTCGCGAGTACGCAACAAAGTAACTAGACTTGTCTTCAAAAGTACAAGCAGAAGTAAAAACTAATGGAAAGGACTTATACAACTTTTTTCAAACCTTAGCCTTGAGAAACGCCATGCTGCGAAAAGCTTACTATTAGAACAAGCAAGTACAGAAGGTTCATGCAAAAAGTTCACAGAAAAAGACCAGTAATGTACAATCTCTACCCTTTCATCGTCAACTTGTTCTTGGCCCAACGAAGAAGAAGTTAAATGCTCAAAATAACACTGCACTGTACTCTTCGCTCATGTTTTCTTGCCAGGACCCCACAACTTCCCAGACGGTCAGCTTCGGCACGTCTCTGGTCATTTTTAGCTTATCCAAACTAGAACTTGCCAAATCATCCCTCTTCAAGACCGTGTGCAGAAATGAACGCACTCGTAAGGGCTGGAGTTCTACAAATGTCTCTTTCTGTGATAGTGATTTCATTTTATCCTTGTGTCATAAGGACCTCAAACGCAGCCATGGCTGTGCTCGAGGTCCTCCGTGTTGTCTTGTGCTAACAGCAAATGCGTTCATCACATTCACCCAGAAACAAGTGACATACGACAACATTGGGGTTCCGGTTCAGAATTGGAAGATGCGGGAGTCAACTTCTACCACATAAAAAATCCCGGAGCCCCCGCACTTCATTGACAAGAGTATCTATAGGCTGCTCAAGAACATGGCCTGTACTTTCCTATGCATTTAACTGAATAGCTTTTTTTTCATGTAGCTGTAGTTTTTGGAGTAGAGGCAAAAAGATCGATCTCTTTCGCAAATCATGGAGCACTTTCGTGACTTAGGAGTTACTTTTGTCTTACAAGTGATAGAATTTTGTATGGAAACAATCTTTTTTGGCCCTGGCAAGACTTCGCACAAAAGCGCGCAAAAGTGCCGGAACGCCCCCTCCAAGCGTGCATCATGAAGTTAGGCGTGAATAAATGTGCACGTGCGCATCGACGGTGAGTTCACGCCAAACACCAAAAATATTTTTTTTACGCCTATGAACGAAATCTCGTTATTTCGCTCAAATCGTCCTTTGCTTCCATCGCCGCATATTAGGTGAGTCTTTCATGACTTTTCTCTTTTCCTGCCTAGCTTTTTTTTCGTTCTTCTCCTTTGAGAAGAACGAAAAAAAAGCTAGGCAAAAAGCTTCCTCTCTTCTCAAACATTTTGAGTACAGTGATCCTGATTACACACTACATACTAACTCACTTCACACACAAAAATTAGGCAGGAAAAGAGAAAAGCCATGAAAGACACCTAATATACGGCGATGGAAGCAAAGGACGATTTGAGCGGAATAACGAGATTTCGTTCATAGGCGTAAAAAAATATTTTTGGTGTTTGGCGTGAACTCACCGTCGATGCGCACGCGCACATTTATTCACGCCTAACTTCATGATGCACGCTTGGAGGGGGCGTTCCGGCACTTTTGCGCGCTTTTGAGCGCTTTTGCGCGCTTTTGGGCGCCTTTGTGCGAAGTCTGGTCAGGGCCTTTCTCTTGTGCACGACACAATCCCACTCTGGATCTGTTCCGGACAAACTTCCCCCTTTGAAGTATGGTTACAAGGAAAGTAATGTTATGTCATAACATCGTACAGCGTCTTTTTCTTTCGAAACGCGTCTGGCAAGAAGGCTATCATATAGTTTTTTCATACCTTGCTGCACCACCAAATGCTTTTTCTTTGCAAAGATGCATAACTATCGAGAAAGAATGAAAGTACATGCAGTGAAGATCCGGCCGGATAGTTGCAAACTTCGATATTTGATGCGGCCAGGCGTTGAAAACGGAAATAGCACGACACCAGATTCCCCACTCGGAAGAGACTTGTTAATCAGAGAAATGTTAGATTGAAGAAGAATGTGAAAGATTAGGGTGAGTAAGGCAGCATAAACTAATCGCATATGTATCCTACTAGCAAGTGATTTAGTGAGAGATAGCAAAAGTCAGTGAATCACTTTGTTGCATATCGCAAGTCCCAACATGAAAACGCGCCCTAGTTTATTAAAGAACGCGAAATTACGGTATGTTATTTTGAGCATATAACTTCTTCTGCTCAACGACATCTTTAGCGAGTACGAGTACGCGGCACCAAAGCACAAACGCAAACGCGCTCATATGAGAGACGCATAGACTGTGCGGGGATCATAGGAATAGCAGGAATAGCAGGAATAGCAGGACTCGCTGGAAGTATGGCCGATCCCTATGAAATAGGCAATTCTAATGGGAGAAACGAAGAAAGAGAAAAGTGGTCATTACAAGCATGGAAACCTTTGATGAAATCATTAGGTCTGCGTCAACTAAGCATTTGAGAGCTCAGAAATGAGGGGGCAAGGGTTCAGCATTTCAGAGGTTGGCAAATTCGTAAAATTTATTTTCCAACAACTTCCTATTTGCTTGAAGTCTACAGTCGCTTCATTTCATATGATCATGTGTGTCATTGCACACACATTCCACGTCTGGCGTCCTCATCCTGAATTTGCAACAGCAAAAACGCATAATCGTTAACGATTGTTTTCGATTACATCCATTTAAGATGATTCGTAGCTAGGAAGGAACGGAAACATTAAGAACACATTGAAAACTGTTGCCTAAAGATTTGTTTTCTCCAAGAATCCGAAATGTGAATGTCAAATGTGGAATGTGTGTGCAGTGACATACATGATCATATGAATTGTTCGACTTTGACTTCGCTTACAGCGGTCATGCAACTCTATATGTGCATCTGCACAAGACGCACCGCACCACACGACTCACAAGTCAGTAGTTAGTAACATCGGAAATCAGTTCAGAGTTCAGCGCGAGCAATGGAGAGTGAAAAACGTGACGAAATTGCCCCCTCACTCTAGTTTTGAAGTGATAGATAGCTTGCCAATGCATTTCTTTTCTTTGCTTCAGAAAAGAAAGTGTTAAAGAGACAGTTTGAGTCGGAAAATGAGTGTAAAGAGTTGAGAATAAACTGTGAATTAGAACTTACCTGCAGCTGGTGATCCTTCATGGAACTTTTCTTGATTTTGAGGTGCTTCTACTCTCATCACGTCTCGTTTATCCAAACTAAATTCTTCCCTGTCTGCACTGTCGCGTAAGTGTGAGATGGTCCGTAGCTTCGCATATTCGTGTTCCACCTTGGCATGAAACATTTCTAAACATGATTGGTCATAAGCTGCAAATACTTGTAAGCATTGATCTCACTTCTACATTTTCTTGCTCCGGTGTCTTCGTATCGGGGACGTCTTTTGAGAGCCATAGAAACATGCCCAGAAGTTACTTGCAAAATTTCGACACCAGTTTGAAATTAGCGATTGGGAAAGAAAGCGTCGATCGCTTCTGAAATGATATCGTTGTGTGGATGATGACATCAAAAGGCTACTGAGTACAAAGTAAAGGTCGACGAGCATGTGAAAGCAATTAGTGGAATTAGTAAGACAAGTCATTATGGTAGGCGCCGACTAAGCGAGTATCTTATTCAACTTGGGGTCCCCCGCAGAATTAACGTCATTTGGCGTCACGCTGGCGGGAAATCAAAGCGGAGTCTCCCGCAATGATATATTTTTCTATATACTGCGATGATGAGGAGTAGAGAAGAGAGAAAGAGTGAGTAAGAGAGACAGAGAGAAAGAGGGAGGTCTACACTCTGATATTTCGACAGTTGCAACAGTCTCGCGTAACTGCTTTACCTTACCTGTTTGATCCGCTCAAATAGTCGGTACGAGCTATATAACACAAAAGCCCAGAAGCCCAAAAGCGCCCGAAAAAGTCCAAAAGCGGCCAAAAAAGCCCAAAAGCGCCCAAAGAAGCCGGAACGCCCCCTTTTGCGCGCAAGTTTTGACGCTAGGGAATGTGTATTGGTCTAGCAATCAACTCATTTTGCTTCATTTACTATCGTCCGCACATCAAAATAATGTCGGGATTCTACCAAAAGTGATGATTATGAAGCAAGAGCAAGGACGCATGACCATCTTTTCAGTGAGTCATCGCACAGCTGATGGTGCTATCGCGCTTCCGTATCTCAAGGGCCGAGCATACTCCACGCGATTTCAGTCGCGACGCGATTTGGCAATTCGCCGGAACTCTTCAGCTCCAACACTAGCAAACTTCACATGCATGGTTTGTACGACTTAAAGGCAGTGGATCGGCAAAATTTGAGGTGCGGTTTTTTCACCGATTTCGGGTCTTCTCGACCCCTTAAACCCCTGGGTGACCTTTTTTCCGCATGAAAATGGTGAAATCCCCGTCTTTGGGGACCTCTCCAAAAGGAGCCTGTGCGAAGTGACCCGGTTCGGCTCGGTCCGACTCTCGCGTCTGACGCAAGTTTTGCGGTCAGAGACGCAGAGGTTGAATTCGTGGTTTGGAAGGTCGTCGGAGAATAATGCTTTTTTTTCGAAATTTCGTCATGTCAACCGTTGCTTTGTGATTTCTTGCGCTCGTTTTTGTCCTCGAGTCCAGTTAACGAGTTTTTTTATTTTCAGGGTATCTCTATGTCTCATGTTGATGTGTATCGGCCTAATATCATTACCTGGGTATGTTGTGCGGGTCAGCTTGTGCCATTGTACCCATTTTGGCTCATTCTCCGCCTGGGTCTTGAGGCGTCTGGAAGATCATACATAATTCTAGCAGTGAAGTTTCTCATAGTTCTACTACGTGTGGATTCATTGCTTACTTTCACTCTCATGGTCGAACACCGTACCCAATAATTCAGGTTCCCTCTCATTGTAGGTTTTCGTTGATATCAGCTATATAGTTTACTTGTATACATGAGGCGTGCTATCAAAGTAAGCTTTTTTTTATGTAGTTACATGTTGAACGAATGTCAACAGTCCACGTGTTTCCATATCGAGGTTGTTGGCGTGCGTTTATGCGTTGTTTCTGGTGAGTTGATATTCAAAGCTCACTTTTTATGTATCACGATTTGCAATTTAGCGACCTGTTTACAAACCCATGGACCAGCCCTGTAACGTCAGGAAGCTTGTATTCATTGTTTGGGGCACGCTGTGTATGGCATGCTGTCTAATATATGCACGATTTGCCGACCTGAAAGTACGTTTATCCAAACATTCATGGTCTTTTTGCACCATTTTTGTTTTCTATCAAAGTTTTCTTAGTGCTGCTCTACTTCTTCATGCTTGGTGACTTTCATATCTTGGCAGGTCGGTTATTGCTCCAGATTATCTCGTATGCATGGTTGTTTCATATTGCAGCCGCTACAATTGATTGATTGATCCTTACTTGCCCCTGACCGCACTTGCTGCAGAAACTGCGGTATGAAACAACTGCAACGTCTGCGAGGAAATCTGGCGCGACTTTGCCCAGATGGCTAACGGGCTGCGCTTAGCATTCTCGTAGGTGACTCATCACAGGCGATCCAACCGCCACTAACGCTTATTGGCCTTCAGCGTACGGCGATAGGGGTGCTTTTACGCAGATTTTGGTCTCTTTTGATTTGCAGGCTGGAATCGTGTAACACTTGTTTGGTTATGGATCATGCGACCATTCAGTGTGCACAAACGCTCAATGATATTGCTTTATCTATTCCCCATGTAGGCTTTTGTCCTGTTTATCGTAAATAGTTCTTCACATATGCTGATTTTCAGATGGCATTCTGCTAAAGACATTGCGCTGCAAGCTTTTAGCAATAGCAATCGCAAGGACAACACTGGTTTTCTGGCCATCTTCTTCGAGCATAAAGTGAGTTTTATCATATTTTCCGTCTTTTTGATTTTCACTCGACCTTTTTCACATATTTATTAATTTTTTTTGTTGCCGCCTTTATCCAAAACTTTGCTTTGCACTCGCTTGTCGATGGGTAGGCCTATATAATAATTTAGCTTATGTGGGTCGACTCTCATTCTTGAAGGCACATCCTTATTGATACTTAGAACTGAAACGGGGTTAAGCAAGCAATAATGTTTTGAAACAACGAGAGGAAAGTTGGATTTAGCTTCGTTCTTGAAAATTTGGCTCTTCTAGCGTTCATAGTTTGCTGAACTTATGTTGCAACCTGGATCGGTGAGTTATGAATGCGGTGTAAATCTCTTTGCGCCAGAGATGATCTATTGGCGTTTTGTGGCGAAGTGTGGTCTCGTAGTCGTTGAACTTTCGCTTGATGATGTCCCGCCTTTCCACAACTCGTTCTCCTCTCAATTCCGCTTCTTTCAGTGCGTTCATGTGCAATGTGGACATCATGGTGTAAATGGTATAGGTAGCACGCGGCCTGAAAATGTTGAAGGTTATATTAGTTTTTGCGAAAACGTTGCTTGTGAGGCAGAATTCACAAGTGAAGATCTTTTGGGCAATACAACCAATCAAGGGCATTCTTAGTCTCGCAAGGGCTAGTTCCACCTAGAGAACAAGCCCTTGCGAGATCCTTTTGAAACAGCGGCTGCAGAAGAATTTCTTTCAATTTTACGTGTGCCGGTGTCCCTTCAGCAATGACCGGTTTTTGCCGTCGTTCATCCATCGAAAGTGCCTGATGACACTGTGTCAAGGGCCCGGTAATGGCTTCCTGTAATTTTACTTCTAGGTGTGTTCCAATGCTAAGCGCAGTACTTTGCTCCACTCGTGGATGCCAGCCACATGGTTCAAGCACCCATTGATGTGCCTTATATGCTCTTTGTTGTTAGTCAGAGCACCCTGGCTATTGCATAGTACAGGTGCTTCTTTATACTTCGTATCCACAGTTTCAGCACTTCGCAGTTCTTTCGCTTAGCGGCCTTAATGCAAATTTCTTCCTGGTTCATCGAAGCAGTTTTTTAAGATACCGCCTGAAGATTCTTATGGACATATCTGGCCATGTGCCATGGGTCCAGATGCCATTTGATGTTTTGGCCGGACTCCGCATTGTACGATTCGATCTCTTTCCCGTACATGGCGCTGCGGTCGGTTGAGATCGAGCCGACAGCGATGTCCCTCGATCTTAACCACCGCAGCAGCCTGCGGAAGCCCTCCTTTTCCATGGCTCCACTGACATTCCCTGAAACGAAATCTTTCTGAGTTGGTTGATGTTTTCTCAGCTTACCTGTCTCCCTGCGGCTCACGACTTCTGTGTGGATACAGAGCTTGGTCCTAAGGTCGACGGCGAGAACCTTGCAAAGTTCGGCACTATGGCCGCGCGAGTCAAACGCGCCGTCTACGGCGATGTCCCAGGGAGTGGGACATCCTTCGCGCTAAAGTTTCAAGCTGATTCTAAGGCATACTTGTTCTTCAAACATTTTACCTCATAGGCCGTTCGTATCTGTTGAATTGTCCTGTTTTGATGTTTCTCGTGAACGACTTCTATAGACGGTCTGAGTTCTGTAAAGACTCGCTTGTACGCCGATAATGATGGTAATCCTAGTCCAAGCTCTGTACTCCACTGCGTCAGTTTCTGTAACACACCAGGTAAAACTATTCTGGTTTGAAGAAGCCGCATGTTATTACATTCATTCGCACACCAGTCGTATGGCGGCAATGCACGCAAGAGCGTTCCCGAGGTACAACTTGTCGATGCGGCTTGAGTTTATTGCATTTTGACCTTCCCATCGCTGGATCTTATCACTGTCTTTCGTGATGTAGCGAATGATTGGGGCGGAATCAGATTTTTCCAAACATACTCCTGTCTCGCTAACTTCACCGTTACATCTGGTGAGGAAAAATCAAGGAGCTTTTTGCCCTGCACCAGGAAATATTGGTCCAACAGCTCTGCTTTAGTCTCTTTCAGGCGGAGCCTTTCGTCGTCGCTTTCATAATCCAAGTGCTTGCCAGGTGAAAAGTAAGATTTACTCTAAATAAAATTTTACTGCTACTCTATTTATCTAAAACTTTTGAGCTTGTTGGTTTTATGATTTTTTGACTTCTTTAGTTTATTCTAAACTAGCTGGCATACCCGGCTCCGCCGTATGTTCCGAATAGAAAATTCCATTTCTTAACCGATCCGAACCAAACTTGGCACACATACGCTACGAGTTGGCCATCATCACCTAATTAATTTATCAACTAGTTGTTCGCGGTTTGTTGTTTTTGATGCTGAGGACCACCTCTTGCTCTTGCTCGTCTTGCTCTTCTGGCACGTTTGGAATTCTCCAAGTATGACTTCGGAAATATTTCTTCATATAAAAGTTCATGAAGCGAGCAACGTCCGAGACGCGCAACGTAATTTCCTTGAAAAGTATTGTTTATGCTGCTTAGTTTAAAAAAGTGATAAAACTGACTGCGAATGTTCTTGTGGCAGTGTTCAATCTGTCCAGCAGATGTGCTGGGATTTGAGCTTCGCTCACATATGAAGTATCATCTGCAGTATTCAATGGTTGCGCACCATTTGCGGTCACTTCTGCGAGGAGGTATTGCGTCTGGGAAACTTACTCATCTTTGTTGTACGTGGATTGATGGAGCTTACCGCGTTTATGAAATGTGTGACGCAGATGAACTTCTGTGTCTTGTTAAACTCATCGATGTATATTTTCAAGAGTTCTTGCGCGACCGAATGGTAGATATGTAGTGCAGCTAGGAGGATCGCATTGTGAGGCTGACTCTTCGACGAACGCGTTGCAAGGCTCTAATCGATCTTATTCCCACAAAGAACGCAGAAATGTCTCTTTACCATTTTGCGAAAGTTCGTTTCTGTAAGCAGTTTTAGATGCGTTTGTTCCTGATAATTTCTGGATATGTGGATGTGTAGAACAAATTTCGTAATAATATCGTAAGCGATTCTTCTACATTAGCGCGACTTTGAGCTTATTTTTCTGTGAGCTCGCTTATCTGGAGGTAAAGTGCCTAGCTAGCATTGTCGTGGCTCATTTCAATTTCTTAGGAACGCTTATGATGGGTTCAATTCAACTTCTAACGCTTTCTTTAGATAACGCTATCAGTCATCTATCCATATTTCGCGTAAACTCGTTCGTTCAAAAGTTAAGTTTTTTTTGAGCAGTTCTCATTGAGCTGAGTGCACACAATTGCAAGAAAATATTGATGAAACCATTCGAACTGTTCGTAGAATTCTCCTTGCATGATTCTAAATATAGCATTTTTGAGAAAACTATTTTTGAGGGATATGGGGCTAATTGTTGATATTCCATTACTTCTTCCAATTTTAACTTTCGTTCGTCTCATGAAAGCACTTTCGTTCGTCTCATGAAAGCACTTTCGTCTCGTCAAATTCAGATTTCATCCTCCTATGCACGACTTGTTGGATTTCTTTTAGATGAGTCAGGAACAGATTGATAAGACGTGAGTGGGACAAGGACCACGTTTATTTGATGAGCAGTTCTCATGGAGCTTAGCTTTCCCCGCGCCGGGTGTATTCCATTACCAGAGTAAAGTATAGTGAATAGAATTTGATATTGAAAACGGGCATTTGAAACACCCAAAATCAAACATATAAAGACAGACTGCACATAGAAACTGGACGAAGTTGCATTCGCTTGAGGTAGTACTACAATTTCTATCAAAATGTTCATTTAGGATATTGTTCGATTTGCGAGGTCGAAAAATGGTTTGCTGTTGAAATGAGGTTTTCCCATCACTTCCAAGTAATCAAGAGCATGGCACTCGAAAGTTCTTTCCGTGAAATTATGCGACGAAGTGTAAGTGCAAAAAATTAGGCGTACGAAAAATAACCAGAAAATCAGCATATCCTTCCAGCTTCGAGCACTAAAAATTCCACTCAGAAGGTAGACACTCCTCCACAAGAGGTTATGATGCTAGCTTAGGACCTCGAGGCGCCAAGCACGGTTGTTGGCAGTAATTAGTACTTCTGGTATCGACCAGTGACGGTAAGATATAAATTTCTAGATGAAGTGTATAAAACAGAATTTGATTGATTTTAGCTCGATTGCGCGATAATTGCACACTTGTCAATGTTGCTGTACACATCGCTTCTGTTAGAATTGGGAGGGTACATCCAGGAACATTGCGAAAATTTGGTATGCACTCTACACGTTCCTTTCAAAAAAATTTGAGTAATGACATAGTTATAGGCGTCTTTGTTGAGCGAATGGAAGCGGCATACCGGCCTGATTGGGATAAGCCAATCGTTCATTGAATAGTGACTCGGAGAAATATATTCTTCAAAGTTGAATGCTTCACCCACTCAGCTGTTTATCAGATGATCAACTGATTTGTCATTTCTGATCTTATCTATTTGGATTCTATGCCTGTTATGCCAAATTCATATCAGTCTTATACTTTTCGTACATATACGTATGAATCTCACAAGAATGTAAATGAAGTTCTCTACAACAACATCAGTGAAAGACATATCCATCTTGCACATGAACAACACAGTTCAACAATAATATGGAACATGAGTGACTACGGTTAACAAATATTTACAAACATGATGTAACAATTTCAAGGACCTTCATCTGCTCTGGAATGATATAACACAGCTTGCGACATCAGAGACCAACACATCCTTCAACGTGAAGTCTGGCGTCCGCACGGCGAATTCAGATCACATCTAAGTGAGCACTGATTATGTACAGAACATAAATGCTGTTCCATTGTTCCATGCAAACAAGTGCAATTTTAGAAGCATATAGACTTATCGTGTTCATATGATTTGAAACCATTTTCATCTTCAAGCTAACTCATTCAAAACAAGTTTGATCAAGGTGCAGTGCAAGGTTAATGTTACACGGTTTCCCTATGTAATTGATGATAACAATATTTTGCAGTCAAAGTGGTGACAATGATAAGCTCTTACCTCCTATATACAAAACTTCTGACGAAAATCTTGCAGAAAAGCCCATATTGAGCAAAGACTGTTTCATTTCAGACAATTTCGGATCACTTCAAACAAGCTGAAAAAAAAAACAAAAACAGAATTCAACCGTGAAGTCAAAAATCGACGTTTTGGAAAGGACTCACATCAGAAAAGTTGTTTCAGCAATAAGACACTCACATTGGAGGGCGTGCAGTGAAACCAAGCTAAGTTCAATCACCTAGAGTTTGCAACAATCGGAATCTGATTTCTCCAGTCTGATCATGAAACGCTGTTCTTCCCTCACCTTGCATAGTTTTATTTTCTAGACAGAGTCTCCCTAGCATCCTCATCAAAATCAAAATTCGCGATTGAGCTTTTGGCATCGTCGAATGCGATATAAAACGAGGAGAAGGAGAGATGACTGACCTGAGTTTTTGAAAAATTAAAAAAGGCTAGAGTCGTGTCCTTCCACACTTCATTTACAAACAAAAATAACTCACCTTGATCTGCTCGAGATCCCAAGATGCGCACTTCCCTGTATCACCATGACGTCCCATGTTCTGAAAGAATGCAATAAACATCAAACCCGATACCTCTACTTTCCTATAGCTTCATTTACGCGTGAGGAAGTGGGCGAAAAAAGCAAAATTCACGGATTTCTCCTGACGACACTATGACTGACGCTAGATTGCAGCAACATTAAAGGGCGCATTAATTTCAGATCTTATCTATTTGGATTCTATGCATGTTATGCCAAATTCATATCAGTCTTATACTTTTCGTACATATACGTATGAATCTCACAAGAATGTAAATGAAGTTCTTTACAACAACATCAGTTAGAAAGACATATCCATCTTGCACATGAACAACACAGTTCAACAATAATATGGAACATGAGTGACTACGGTTAACAAATATTTACAAACATGATGTAACAATTTCAAAGGACCTTCATCTGCTCTGGAATGATGTAACACAGCTTTAGGAAAGTGAGGGGAATCGCCAACTCGTCCACAAGCGTGTAAGATTGGCTTGCGCGCACGCGTTTGGGGGCAGTTTTCTTGGCAGGGGGGGGGGGGGGCACGTCATGCGCCTGGGATTGCTTTGTTGTTATATTTGGGGGGTAAGAAACTTACTGCGTCAAAATTTGGACTACTTCGATTTTGCCGATCCACTGCCTTTAAGTGGGTTGATAAAATACGCTATCTTCTGTACATTCAAATTGTGCCTACGATGAGTTACGGACAGCTGGAATATTGCCAAATCGCGTTGCGACTGAAATCGCGTGAAGTATGCCCGGTCTCTTATGCAATAATCATCAAAAGCAAACGAAAGTTATGGTAACTCACAAAAACACGAACTAAGGTTCAACCTCCAATGTCTTTAAGGTTCAAACAATTCAAACTGAAAAAAATACCACTGTCGTGGAGAGGACATATACAGAGAAGAAGCTAACAAAAGACATTTTGTCCAAACTACACACCACGATCTCATCAAAAGAGATTAGTGGTGCCATATTTGCTAAGCGAGATTACTGAATGCAATAGAGAGAGAAAATCTGTGGGAAAGCAAATGAGATACATATTTTATTTATTTATTTTATTTATTTATATAATACACAAGAGTGTGCCACAAGGAAGAACAAAAAAAACAAAAAAAAAGAACACAGGGTGGGATTGGATCACTTCGTCCCTTGCTGGATGATTAAGGTCGCTCTCCATCTCCAAGAAGTGAGTGGAACTCCACCGAAATCCTTTTCCCTTACCCGAACGCAGAGGAATGTAAGCAATCACCAGGGCTTGGCTGACCAACTTAACCCCAGACGGACGAATCCGCCGGGGACCCTGGGCGAGCGAGAAGGGGGGATCTCAAGGCAGAGTGCTCACTGGTCTTCGATCTCCTCAAACGGCTGTCCAAGCTAGGAGAACTTTCCAAACCCTTGAATAGATTGGTAGACTGTAAAAAGGCTCGTTAACTGCAAAACATCTGTCCAAAACACAAAGTTCTTCAAAAAACTAGCTTACATCCTTCTAAAAAATTGTCTCGACATGCATGGCTCAATCTCCATACTAGGCATATAGATCTGGCAGAATCAATCACGTATCTGCGTGCCATAAGTCACTAGTGGTGATAAGATGGGGCATCAATCACCAAGCGCGACGACAAACGCAAATCTAACGCACATATCCAGCAAAAGAAGACCACACAGTGCGCATGAAAGTAAAATTCATGGATTCCTTCAAATTTGCTCGAATCGTTGGTAAACTGACTTGCTCAAAAGTTCCAAAAATGTAGCAGTCGTACAAACTGTTTCCACAGTTAGAAATTTGTGCAAGATTAGCGTATGTTCTTGTGAGTAGTTGAAATCTAGTGTTTAGAAGTCAACTATGTTCAAAGTCTGCATAACGTCTATGGTGCCTAGCTTTTTGCGAAATTCTAAAGAGTTTTTGCAAGAAGTTATCTCATTCGGGAGCCGACTAAGCCATCTGGCTGTGCGACAAACGAAAGAGTTGAAGGAATTTGAAAGAGTCCTGTTCCCTAGTTTGCGATATCCCAATGCAAAACCTCCTGTTCGGTTTCCACAAGGCCTGAATACCCAATATTTGCTTGGTCTCAGTCTAGTTTCCAAGCGGATAATGCGAAAACAAAAAATCAAATCATTGCAAATTCTTCTGTATTTTAGACTGCGTAGACCCAAAGCGGACAGTCTCATATTGTAAGTAGGCAAAGACTGAGGATAATCGGATCTAGGATAGCATCTGTAAAAAATTATTCTAGTGAACGCTTTCTGAACCTTCTCTAGCTTTTCCATATTCTTCTTCAAAAAAGGATTTCATACGGGGGACGCGTACTCCAGAAGTGGCAGAACATAAGTCTTGTACAAACGTACTAGGAGGTCTGCATCATTGCTGTGAATATTTCTTAGAATAACAAAGAGGACGGATAGGGCCTTTTTAGTGACTGAATCATACTGTAAAGAAAAACTGAGCTTATCGTCAACAAGAACGCCTAAATCTCTAGTGGCACTGCAATGCTCAAGATCTATTCCGTCGCACACGTACGTGTGAGGTGGACAGTTTCCCAGATGCATGACTTTCGATTTGAGAGCATTAACTGGAAGACCCCACTCTTTAGACCAAAGTACCATCTTGTTTATTGAAGAAGAAACCGCTTCAAATGCTATGTTCGCCTCTGCTTCTTTGTAACAAAAGTAAATTTTTATGTCATCTGCAAAAACCTGAATCTTGACACTGGGATGCGTTTTCAAGAAGGCTGGTAATTCTGCAGTGTAAGTAAGGAAAAGGAGTGGTGACAGTATACCACCTTGGGGCACTCCGCTGCTGCAAGAAAAACGACTTGAAAAACTGTTCCCAACACGGGTAGTTATCCCTCGATCTTTTAGGTAAGATGCTAACCAAGCAAGCAACTGACCGCGTACGCCATAGTTTTCGAGTTTCAAAAGTAACTTAGAGTGTGAAACTCTGTCAAATGCTTTAGATAAATCGAAAAAGACAATGTCCACTGATTCACCTTTATTCATAGCGGTGACCCAGTCATAAAGCGAATCTGAGAGTAGTGCAGTGGTGGATCCACCAGGAAGGAAGCCGTTTTGAACTGTTGGAAAAATTTTGTTCTTCTCTAGCCATTCATACAAAGTCTCCTTTATAAGTTTTTCCAATATCTTTCCAGCGGGCGCAGTGATGCTGATTGGGCGAAAATTGGAAAGAGCATTGCTGTGCCCGTTTTTAGGTATGGCTGTCACAAGAGCTTCTTTCCAGATTTTTGGTACTTCTCCAAATAGTAAAGAAGCGTTGTAAATGAAGGTCAAAGGGTAAGCTAAAGCATGAGCACATCTACGGAAGATTATTTGTGGAATTCCATCATATGCGAGAGTCGTTGTTACTTTCAGTTTTCTTAGAATGTCATAAACTTTCGTGGGTTCAATGTACATATTTGGACAGGAGGAGCTGATTCGTACAGTAGTACGACACAGAAAATCCTCATTTTCTTGAGTGCACAGAGAGTTCTCACTGAAAAAGCAAGCGAAGTAATTCGCAAGCGCTTCAGCTTTGTCTTTTTCGCTTATAAGTAAATGTCCTTCCTCATCTTCTAAGTTGAAAATCTTTTGTTGCCCTTTTGTTACATTTCTAAGAAATCCGTAAAGCTCTCTAAAGTTATATCTAGAAAGACGTCGTTCCCGATTTTCCAAGTATTTTTTGATGTGATGGTTAATATCTTTACAGACCTTTCTGTAGTAAACATTATGCAGGGGATCACGCAACTGTGAAAAAAGTCGAGATTTTTGTTCCAGTAAATTTCGAATGTGAACCGGGTAGTTCTGAGGTTGAGAAGGCGAGAAACGGAATGGAACATGTTCAGCGAAGATTACGTACAGTTTACTGCAGAAGCGTCTGTAAAGATCTTCAACATTTTCGTAATTTTCAAAAAGACGAAACCAGTTGATTTTTATAAGGATGAGATTAAGACGATAAGCTCGGATACTGACGGACGCACAGGAAGAATCAATGACTAATGACGCCGTGCTCTTTCTTGCAAAAGACACGTATCTACATGTGCACAGATGAGCACTCCACAAATCAATCGATACCAGCCAGATACATGTTATCGGTGCCCGCTCATAGCATCTTCGCGACCCGCTCAGGGTTGAGGCGTACGCGGCGTACGCAGCGTACGCTCGGTATATTTTATCATAGGAGCATACGCGGCGTACGCTGCGTACGTCGCGTACGCCGCGCAGTCTGGCCCAACCCTAACAAAAACCTTGCTTTCGCAACCCCATTACTTCCTGGTCGTTGCCAACTAGATGTTATCGCTGCCTTGTCGTCGCCTTCTGGGTGCTTTTGTAGCGATAACGCGCTCTGTAGTTATTTTCTGACTCACGCAAGTTTATGGCAGCCCGCTGATAGCCTGTCGCTGCCCGCTCGCTACTTTTTCCGAGTTATCGCCGCCCGCCCACTGAAACTGCTTGCTATCGCTGCCCGCTGAGAGTTTCCAAATGTCTGAGCCCCTGTGCCAACTCCCAGCGCCGTAGGTGAACTCTGCAAAAAAATTGATAAAAATTGATAAAATCGATATCGATCGATGACGAAAAGTAGCCTATGACACCCGCCTGGGCCCGAAGTGTAAGTGTGCCAAGTTTGGTCCGGATCGGTTCAGAAATGGAATTTTCTATTCGGAACATACGTACACACATACATACATACTGACAGACAGACATACAAACAGACATCCAGCTTTATATATAAGATGTATCATGGAGTATGCCGACAATATATTAGGTCGTTCCATAAGTTCGTAGCGTTTTCATTTTCGTCGTCATTTTCTGGTGAAGCAGTGGGTTTACGGCAAATTATCTGGTATTAATCGAAACAGCCAAGTTTTTTTCTACAAAACTTACTTGCTGTTTTTGAAGCAAACCTGATGATCTTTGGTTCATAATTTCTCAAAGCAAAGTTTTTTGAGTGGCAGAAAATAGCCATTTCGGCACCTGTGCTTTTCGCATTTCGTCCATATCCCACAAATATTTCTCTGTATGTATAGCCGGAGCAGCAAGTAGCAAGCAACGCTGATGTGCTGACACGATGGTGTCCAGCCAATATGCTAGGAACTGCTTGAACGAAGTCTCAAAAGTTGCTGTCTTCGACTGCTGCAGCTTGAGTTTTACGCGTCGTTTCGTAACAGAATGTTCTTATCCTGCTATCAAGCCTTGAGCGATGAACTGCTTTGTCTAGGTGGCGCAAAAGTTTGAATGCAACCGGTGACCAGCGATCTTACGCTTTCTCGAAAAATTTTGGCTCAGAAAACTTCCTCATTCCGGCCAAATGCAAAACATCTACACGTACCTCAAAAGTGCGCTCTATCATTCTCTGTAACGTCCTCCTTGACAAGAATTCTTGTTTTACGTGCATCATAGTCCAGTAAACAGTATTCTTCATCACTCATAACAATTTCAAGTGGAAATTTCCCTCTCGTAATTTCCGTATATAGCGCCGAAGATGGAGATGCCGAAAGCGCCATTTTTTGCTACACAAAAACTCTGCTTTGAGCAGTCACAAAACAGAGGTCATAGGTTTACTCTAAAAATAAAACGCAATTCTTGTAGAGTAGAGTTGGCTCTTTCGGAGGGTACACACATTTTGCGGTAAACCTGCCGCTTCACCAGAAAAAGACGACAAAAATAAAAACGCTACGAACTTATGGAACGACCTAATAGATATTTGGAACAGCGCACTAAACCGCAGTCGCAAGTTCTCCAAATCAAGTTTCTTCACTTTGGTTCACGATTTCAAAGTTTTTCCCAAAAGAAAAGTAACTTACTATCCAATGGTTTGTTGCATATAAAAAGGTGAACCTTATTTTAGTTAATCGTTTGAAATGACAACGAATGCGGGAAAATCCTAAAGATTTAGCCAGATAAGTTTGCAATGCAAGTCAAAAGAAGCCACATTTCGTGAAGCAAGCGTCTATCGTTTTTAACCTTTAGTCATGCAAGCAATTAAAAAAATGGGAGTATAACGACTGCAATATTCGAATATTTTCGATCCACGTATAAAAACTACATTCGAATAATCTCATTCCTCATACAAAAAACTGTTTCTTTTCACTTGCCTTTCACTCACCAAAAGTACTATTGCGGTAAGCCTTTATTATGCTTGTTTCATTACAGTAACAAGCAGAGGTGCGATAGGTGGAGCCGGGCCCCCCAAAAGTGAAGGTGGTTCCAGTTACCACTGGCCGGCCAAAAGTGAAGGTGGTAGTGTCGGACACTCACCTCCCAAAAACGTTGACCGGGGGGGGGGGTAGGGGGAGGGAGGACTTCGGATAACTGAAGAACTCTCATCTAATGGCCCCTAGGGCCAACAACTGTGACCTAACGGCCCTCTTTAGGGCCACAAATACGATGACTACAGCGCATAAAAATAAAAATAAAGTAAACTGTTAGTCAAAAGGTCTATTTGTAAGTAAAACCCAGCTAGACTTTGTGTGTTTCATCAAGTACATTTTGTTATGACGTACTGCAAAGAAAGTAGGTCGATCCAGGCAATAACCGCCGAGAACCAGGATTTCGAATAATAAAATAATGAAAAATCGTGAAAAATCATTTCACTGTTACAAATCTGCTGGCTGAAGACCTCCGCAGTTGCGACTTCATAGGTTTTGAAGGGTAAGTGTTGTTCTACCAGACAGTGAAAAAATCAGATTGATTTGAGGAGTGGCCGCCGAGAACGAGAATTTTGAAAAACCTTAAAAATCTGCTCAATTTTAGGTTGTTTAATGACAACTGACATTTAAACTATCATAAATCCGGACTTTGAAGGTGTGTGATGTTGCGACTTCATAGGTTTTGTAAAGTGAGGTTTGCCTTATCAGAACATGTCTTAGCTGTACCGATCCATTGAAACGTCGCCGAGATCCAGGCTCCTAAAGAAGCGGGTAAAAAACCGTTTTTCAGCTCATAACTTCTTCAGAATTGCATGAATCATGTTGCGACTTCATAGGTTGGATTCTCCTCATCAAGAGCTTTCAGATGATATATAATATGTGGGGGGTTCACGCCTTCCACGGCATATGCCCGGGGGTGGAGTACCTCTCTTCACTAATTCTCCACCCCGCCCATTTCAATGTATTGGCGGGAGGCCGCCAGTGGAGAATTAGTGTAGAGAGGTACTCCACCCCCGGGCATATGCCGTGGAAGGCGTGAACCCCCCACATATTATATATCATCTGAAAGCTCTTGATGAGGAGAATCCAACCTATGAAGTCGCAACATGATTCATGCAATTCTGAAGAAGTTATGAGCTGAAAAACGGTTTTTTACCCGCTTCTTTAGGAGCCTGGATCTCGGCGACGTTTCAATGGATCGGTACAGCTAAGACATGTTCTGATAAGGCAAACCTCACTTTACAAAACCTATGAAGTCGCAACATCACACACCTTCAAAGTCCGGATTTATGATAGTTTAAATGTCAGTTGTCATTAAACAACCTAAAATTGAGCAGATTTTTAAGGTTTTTCAAAATTCTCGTTCTCGGCGGCCACTCCTCAAATCAATCTGATTTTTTCACTGTCTGGTAGAACAACACTTACCCTTCAAAACCTATGAAGTCGCAACTGCGGAGGTCTTCAGCCAGCAGATTTGTAACAGTGAAATGATTTTTCACGATTTTTTATTATTTTATCATTCGAAATTCTGGTTCTCGGCGGTTACTGCCTGGATCGACCTACTACATAGATATATGCTCTTAATACTTTCTTTTACATTCCTTTTGCTTATTTTCCTTCTTTTGAGCTTCAGCAAAAAAACTTTTTCAAGCCGAAAAGTGAAGGTGGTCACCCTGTACCAGCTCAAAAGTGAAGGTAGGCGGAGAATCGGCTCCGACTATCGCACCTCTGGTAACAAGGGTTCTCAAGCTGTGCTGCAAATAAGTGGGAAAGCAAGGAGGAGACCAAAACAGGGCCCGGCACGAGGTTGTCAAATGACAAGCTGGAATTCGTTTTCGGCAAAAAAAGCAAAGGGGGGATATCGTTTTTGCGGGGTCCGGGGCGAAGCCCCGGAAAAAATGGTAGTTTATGCCCTCTGCTTATTTTAACATGTTATGTACCTCAACAGGCGAACAATGGAGTTCGCGCGCGTCAAACCGCGCCGTCGCTAGTTGCCGCACGCGCGACGTCGCTCAAACGATGCTATTTGTAACAGCATACATGACTAGTTCTCAATGTATGCGTGACGATATGACACCAAATTTTGTAAGCGAACGGAGGGAGGCTAGTGGAAACAAAGTATGAAAAACTATGAAAAACTTATGTGAACGGAACGAGTAATAAGCATTTTTTCCGAAAATTTTGCAAAATCGGTAAATGAAGATGCGAATTGAAATGGCTCGTTTGCAACGAGCACATGACGGTATGGTATAAAACTTGGTAAGTATGTGGACACATGCCTGTAGGAGTTAACTTAGGAGTTTCATTGAAAAATTATGTGACTGAAAGTTGTGGCAAACTTTTTTCTGAAAATTTCCTGCTATCAAGAAAATGGAAAAATGGCTCGTTTGCAACGCAGAGGTGACGAGATCGCGTGGGATTTGGTGCGTTTCTGCGCAGTAAGACTAAGTAACAAAGTATGAAATATTATGAAAAACTTATGTGAATGAAGAGCGTGCTTAACTTATTTCCAAATTAGCTTGTCATTTGACAAGCTAATGACAAGCTGAGCTTGTCAAAACTCTCAATTCACATAATTTTTTCAAAATTTTTACATAAATCTACTCTACACCTAAAGATTAGTATATCTCGAAATTTTGGTTTCAAACCTCCTCATCTCCCCATTGCTAGAGGCAAAAATAGCCTCAGCACCCCCGTTTTCTAAGGAGGAAAGCGCGCTCCAATCGATAACGGCGTCGCTGGGTCCTATAATCGCATTTTTCATATTTTCACTCCTCTCCCTCATTCGTCTTTACCATTGTTCATCCTTTTCTTACATGCTTTGATTCGCACCCTTTATTCGCTTGCACCTCCAGTGTGCAAAATGGTAAAAATCGTTTCGTCTTACAGGAAAAAACAGAAACTTTGCAGGCTGTCAGTCGTATGTCGAAGGGCGCACGTGAGATAATTGAGGAAATGCATGCTATGATATCTGCGCTCTGCTCCATGGACTCCATTATTGACGAAGGGATGAGTGATGTGGAAAGATCCGCGAAATTATTACAAGGGTAGGCTAACTTCCTGTCTTCTCGTTTTCCCGCTGTCAATTAGACTCGTTTTGTGACCATTTTCATTTACTGTAGATCGGATTGTTGCACATCATAAAGATCTAAATCAGCGCGTTTCTTGCTACGAAACAAAAATAAGTTGTTTATTTTCAATTTGGTCTTTCCAAGTGACTCTTGCATTCAGTTGCATCGAGGGTGAGACGTGCAGTGCGTCCGTTTGGTGACAAACTCATTGAGGCTTTACCTGTGAGTCATAATCCCTCTATTTTTACATCTTCTTACCGATGAAAGATAAATTGTATATGTTAATTTTTTTTCAAGTTTTGTAACATTTCAGATGTGGGAGATAATCCCGTCAATGTCGTGGGTCATCTTATGTCATCTTTTTGAACTCCTTTCGACTTTTGTTTGGTAGTAGTTTTTTAAGGTGCTTTCAGTTTCTTAGTCATTGCTTTCGACTAACTGTTTATGTTCAAGAAGTTTATTTCCTGCCGAGTGATGGTGACTTAGGTATCCTTCATAGTACGCCGCAGGACACCGCGTCCTGCGGCGTAGTTTGAAGGAACCCTTAGGCTGAGTTCATATTGATTCCCATGTTTCGGAACTGTTTCTGCACAGTTCCCGCACTGTGCTAAAACTGTTCCGGAACTGTGCTGCATGCGCTGCAGCCATTCGCACGCGTTCTAAAGCGGGATGGAGAATTTTGACCGTTTTCAATGGTTTTTCTTCCAGATTTTTCTAATTTTGGCCTTATTCCTCTACCCCGCTAATCTTTTTGATTAGCAGGACTTCGAACTCAAAGCCGAGTTAAAGAATAAGTACTTTTCTGCTCTGCGCACGCGACAAAACGTGTGTTCTTTGCTCGTACATTTTCTCTTCGCTTTATTTTTACTAATATCTATTCCATTTGTTCCAGGAAGCCGCCTGCATAGTTTCCATAGTCATCTGCCATGAATTAGTGAGTGCAAGCAGTTCTGAATTTGCATAAATTGGAACTTTTCTCTTGTTTTCTTTTTTTGACTTTCGTTTTTTGGGCATTCTCAGCTTTTTTCTTTTTCCATGTCGTTGTTTTTCCGTCCTTTCTTCTCCCCGCTTCTCCTTGTGATGGGAAAAGCTGTCTTGAAGCGGGGTTGATGATTGAACGCTGTTCTGCTCCATGTATTCGGGCAGACTGGTCTTCTTGCGCTCTCCATTTTCTCTTCCATTCTTGTTCAGGCCTATTCCATGTGTTCTAAAGACCTGTCTATGTCCCTTTCCATACAGATGCGAGACTACGCAACGCCTTCCTGGAGCACATGAAGTATGTCTGATAAAAAATAGCGAAGAGAGAACGGATGAGCGCACGAAGGCCCATCTTCCCGGATACATGGAGCAGAACAGCGTGTAATCATCAACTCCGCTTTAAGTTCGAAGTTCTGCTAATCAAAAAGAGAAGCGGGGTAGAGGAATAAGGCCAAAATGAGAAAAATCTGGAGGAAAAGCCGTTGACGGTCAAAATTCCATCCCGCCGTACAAAACGCGTGCATAACGGCTGCAACGCATGCAGCGCAGTTCCGGAACATTTCCAGCACAGTGCGGGAACACTTTCGGAACATGTGAATCAGTATAAATCCAGCCTCAGAGCTACATGTTTGAACATCCGGGCCGGAGAGTCGATTAGTATGAAAGAATACGTCTTATCAATCTTGAGGCCTTCATTAACCGTACCCTACCCATGAAGCTTACTGGGCCGCCTTTTCCATCTTTTTGCATAATTCTCAGTTGCTGACCGGTATTCTTTATGATCACTTATCTTTCTTTGAAGTCAATAAAAGTATTTGGAAGTTGTTTGATAATTTAATCGACATTGCTGACAATGGGAACAAGTGGGCGGCTATTACAATATTGTTAACTAATTGCAATTTCCATACTCCTTTTTTCTTGATAAATTGACGTCCAAACCTTGGAACTCGGGGTTTCGAAATTTCAATATTTCGATAACTCATGTCTTCTCAAAACATGTTCAGCAGTTTTGGATTAGATAATTAACCACAGGACTTCAAAAAAGAAGAAGAGCATCATTCTAGGATCATGCAAGAAATTGAGAAGTACTTTTTATGGCAGTAGACTTTTATTCGAATTATTCATAATAAAGAGTAGTAATGATATAGTATGGACGCCGGCCAGCAAGTACCTGTGGTAAGCTGGCTAGGACACTTACTATATATCATCGACTCCACGTTTAGAGGCGGGGTTTTGCCAACTCAAAGCGTGGCGGTTTTTGATAGCGAGAGAGTACGAAAAGCAATGCTATGACGTGGAGGTTTAACAAGTTTATCTGTGTTATCAGGAAAAGTCTGCAATACACCTCTACACGAATCGTGGAGACGATTATACTTACAGAAGGAGCGCTGGCTAAGTCCTAGCGAATGTGTTGTTTTCGACGTGTTTTTAACGTGCTCACCAATGTTTCATGCACGTCGTTATTGAGATAAAAGATGTTATAAGAAGAGTATGCACTATACGTGGAGAGGGCGACGAAGGGTAGGATGGCCTGAGGAGCCGCTGCAAAGGCGTCATGCGCTGGTTGCGTTGCGGCGGCGAGCTTTACTCCTCGCGTAAACTCGTGCGCGTCGACTCGGGTCTCCTCAATGCAGTCCCAAAAATCAAAGCACAAGTGGACTTGCGCCCGATAGGTGAAAGCAGTGAGTGAAAGGATCGGAATGTAAGGGTGGTGTAGGAGTGGAGTATCTGAGGTTGAGGATGAGTGAGAGGAGTGTATGGGAAGCAGGAGTGTAAGAGTACTTGAGGGTGAGTATTGGAGTGTTAGGTTTGTAGAATTCGGGTATTTCAGGGTGAGTGAGAGGAAGGTGTGAGGAGTATGTGTGGAGCTAGAGTTCCTGAGGGTGAGAGGTTTGATGACTGCATATATACTGAGCATGACTGGTAAGGAACCCTCCCTCCCTCTCTCTCCCTAAGCTGCCAGTGCATAGGAGTATTTTTTCATGTTGATCTCATCGCAGATTTCTGCTTTGATCTCCAAATCTCTTTTTGTTTCTGGTGTTGTCATGAATCAATTGTTTCTGCTTTTTTTAAATAAAACTTGTTCTCTGAGTGAAGTGTTCACTGCGCAATCACTGGAATCAGTTTTTGGGTCAAAGGGGAACTCGTAAAAAAGATTTTGGGTCAAAGGGGAATTCGTTTTCGAAAACCCCTTTTGACAAGCTCGTGCCGGGCCCTGGACCAAAATATTTATGATCATGGCAGTCACTGCACGGGGGAGTAATTGCACTGAGAAAAACTGCACTTTGTGAAAGAATTTGCTAGAATTTTTTACCTCATGCATTTCCACATTCTGTGCACGTCAGCACGAACGTCACTGTTCATTATCATTCAATGACTCCGAAATCAAATCCCCATGCTCGACCCCTGTAGCGCAGCGGTGCGATTCTGTCTGTCGTTTTTTCACCAAGAACGTTATGGGGAAAAAGCTGCCGAAACTAGATTAAAGATTTTATTCTCATGACCAAGTCAATCACGTCTGAAAATCACGCCTCCTAGACGTTGAGAAACACTAGAAAGTGTGATAGGTGGTGGTTTGTAGAGCTCGTGTAGGTAATTTTGCATGCTGACTACGGAAATCATACCTATTTTACACAGCAAGCCTATTTGGTGACCTTATCGTTGACAGAGACTTCGTTAGTGGAATTACAATGTGCAATTAACGACAGTCTTCTCATTTCTTCTTCCGGTGGAATGATATTCACTGGTTTAGCACTATTCTTTTTGACCTTACTCAATCGTTGCATATCCTCCATTTTGTGAACAATTTCGTCTTGATTACGACCTCCTCCCCCTGGTCTTACCCCCAATACGCCCCCACAGGTTGGGCGTGCCTGACCCTAAGCTCAATCCTGGTTATAAGTGTTTGAGACTCTAAGTGGCATAAAATTTGCGAAAAGCTGCACAAAATCAGCTGAAGGTGAGTTATCGTATTTGCACCACATATACCGGCTACAAGAAAGGGACACAGCCAGTGGAAGACCGCGTAGTTGGTTGTGTAAAGCTTTTCGCTAAATTTATGCCACTTGAAGCTTGACAAATTTAGACATTTAAATGCCCATAACTCCTTTCGGAAAGTGGTTCCGCAGAAAATGAAAGCAGATTTCAAATCACTGCTCGAAAACGTGTCTTCAGATATAAAACTCGTCTCCAATCTCTAACCTATGAGACCAATACCATGTAAGAAGTACTAAATTAAATTCTCTAGCTAGACCCAGGACCCGAAACAATTCATTGTTGTGCAAATGTAATAAGCAAAGTTCTGTTGCACTTGAATGAGTTATTCATAAGGCAAGCATGGTAGCTATGACAATAAAGAATTTGTGTTATTCGATTTGATCGTTACAATGAAATGATTTAAATTCATTACCAAAAAACTTCGACATGGACTACCGTTATGGCAAAGACACCTCATTTATTTTTTTTATTTATTTTTTAGAAAACAAATGGGACTCAATCGCAATACTTTGTAATGAACCAAAATTTGATTTTACAGTCCTGCCCGAGCTGGGTATCAAATTCAGTAACAACGCGAATGCGTTGTGTTCCACGTTTCATTGCATCAATTTCGCAAAAAAGTACGTTCTATTTTTGTAGTAATCCGGTATAATTTTCTAATGAAGCGGGTTTAGGTGCTACGGCTTTGCTTTAGTTGTATATGTGTGGCATAGACAAAGATTACTCTACTCATGAGATATTATATGCACTCATCAGCCTGTTTGATATCCACGTTCCTTTAAAACAAAGAAAGATGACTATTTTTGCGGACTGCATTGCACAGACAGCTATGTCAGAGTGCAATACTTACTAATCTAACGGGTATCTATAAATTGAAAAGCTGCAGGTCCATTCAAATTTCACAGTCTATTAGTGAAAACTGTATTTGACTTTTTGGAAATACTTTAAGCACCAAGCAAAATCAAGTTCCTTTTCCTCTTGCCTATTCTGTATGGATAGGCAATACTGATTGTTCAAGTACATAAGGTCAGAAAAATCTCAGAAAACGAGATTTCTGGAACATAGTCTCTCAATTTTGGAGTTTTCTTGAATCAATAACCATAGCAGGAACGAGCTAAACATTTCAGACTTTACTTCACAAAATTAAACAAAATGATGCTTTCAATATTTCTGAAGGGCAGACGAGGCTCTCAAGCACTTTGATGTTTTGCTTGCAATGCCCGTAGAGGTGCCCCAAGAAGCTTTGCTGGCGCATTCTTGTTGTATTAATCATAGATTTATTTGTAATGAAGTTTCAAATTTTCAAGCGGTTTTGGAAAAAGAGCTTGATCGTAGTAGGGGATTACAGGTTGCGCAACCAGTGCTCGGCGGGGTGGCGCTTATACAGGCTGGATGTCGTTTTGAACCGAAAAAGCA